AGGCTCACACCTGCTTAGCTTCAGTGCGTTGCCAGTTATGAGTTGCAGAGTGATATGGCTGCTGGCATTTTCTTCAGGATAGGGTTCAGAAGAGTTTCTGAAAAGGTGAAATCTGCTTTTATTGAGAACAGAATTTGAAGCTCAATTTCAACATGCAAAACAAAAGGTTTGGGAAGTATTAATAGGTCACAACAAAAAATCTAGCAATATTAATTTTCTTGGGGGTGCAGAAAAATTCTGTACTGACTCGAGCACCCCCAATAATTTTGAAAAGTTGGCGCCTGCGGTGATTTTTCTTTTTCTGGATTAAGCTGAGCTGTTGGGTACAGGATAGAACATAAAGGAGTCTGCCAGCTTTTCAGCTGCAGTTCTCATATGCAGTTGAATAAGGTCAGTAGCAAGCGCTAATCATTGACTGATAGGAGATAAAGTACTGTAGCAGTGTTTTTATTTTCTAGTCATTTCTGCTTATCCCATTACTCAAAAAAAGAATACATTCCAATTTTAGAAGATCTGTCTAATCCTTCAAAATATAGCTTAATGATCTGAATACACAACTAAAAATAATTATATTGAATTATGCTAAGCATTTGTAATTATCATGACACAACACAATGGAGTTCAAACACTTTTATACCAACAACGGATAACAGTAAAATATCCATCGAGGATACTTTTCATAGCCTACCAACTAACAGTTCTTTACAAGCATTTATAAAGACAAACAATTTTGTCTTCAGAGACATTATTTTTTTTAACGTAATATTCCCCTTTTGTAAAGCAGTAGAAAAATAACCTGTGAGAGTTCTGATTATATGAGGTTCACTGTTGTCGGAGGTGAACCAGTAGAAACGTTTTCAGGGTCTATCACAAATACACCTGGAATAAGTTCCTAGCAAAAAGAGAGTAAATGGTGGCTTACACATTCAAATGACAAAGCGGAGATTCCGAAATGTACATAAACTACAGTGAAAAATTGAGATATTGGGATAGGAAAAATACATTTGTCATTTTTGCTGTGTACTAATAATGTTTTTATTTCAAATACAAATCAACGAAAGAAGACGACAGCAGTTCACTACCAACAATGAAGTAATATTTTTATGCTAAAACTGTGAATAAACAGCTGATTTTTAATTTCCCAGGTCTCTTAACATATATGTTGGTACTGTATATGGTTTGCTAACACACTGTTCATCCAGGCCCTCTCTTGTGATCTAGATGTAAAGTAAAGTTCAATTCTGGTTCTTAAAAAAGAGATGCAATCCTGTTAACAGGCAGTGGTTTAAAACACAGTAAACCTGTCACCAAGTATCATTACCCTTTAAAATGCAAGAGACAAAAAAAGGTGTCAGTCTAAAATGTCAGGACAGTCATTATCAAAATGTCACAATTACAATATGTGTTACTTTTCCTGTCTTCTGTTGCCATCTGATTTTTAATTTTGAAAGAAGCGAAAGCATAGCTGCAAGATGTAGCTGCAAACTCCTTGGTCTCAGACATTACCTTTGTATTCTTCAAATGCCATTACCACTACCCTCTGAATAACTCTGATGATAAAGTATGAG